CTAAGAATGAAGCAACATAAACTGAAAATGAACCCAAAGAAATGCGTTTTCGGAGTTCAAGCGGGAAATTTCCCAGGATTCTTGGTCCACCAAAGAGGCATAGAGATCGACAAAAACAAAGCAAGATCCATCATGGAAGCTTTGCCACCTAGGAACAAGAAGGAATTGCAAAGTCTCTTAGGAAAAATTAATTTTTTGAGGAGATTTATATCCAATTCTGCAGGAAAGATCCAGCCTTTCTCTTCTTTGTTAAGATTAAAACAGGAACAAACCTTTAAGTGGGAAGAACAGCACCAACAAGCTTTTGAGGAAATCAAGCATTACCTCTCAAATCCACCAGTTCTGTCCCCACCAAGAAGAGGCAGACCACTCAAGCTCTATATATCTGCATCAGAAGTATCCATTGAAAGTTTATTGGTTCAGGATAACAAGGAAGGAAAGGAACAGGCGGTTTATTACCTAAGCAGAACTCTGACAGAAGTGGAAAGAAAATATTCTGCAATTGAAAGACTTTGCCTAGCCTTGTACTTCACTGCTGTAAAGCTCAGACATTACATGCTGCCATACACCATCTATATCATTGCCAAAACAGATCTGATCAAATACATGCTAACAAGACCAATGCTAAGAGGCAGAATTGGAAAATGGACCTTGGCCTTGACAGAATTTGCCTTCAGATATGTTCCTCAGAAAGCCGTCAAAGGACAAGCTGTGGCAGACTTCCTAGCAGATCATCCCGGAGAGGAGATTGAAAATATGGACTCTCTAGACATAGCAAATGCAGATCTATTGACCAGAGCTCACACCTGCCTCAACAATCCTATCTACTCAGTTCATCTTGCACCTTGGAAGTTATACTTTGATGGATCAAAAACTGATATAACTTCAGGGGCAGGAATTGTCTTGGAAGAACCACTTGGAATCAGACACTGCTATTCTTTCCAATTGGATTTCCAATGCACCAACAACAGGGCAGAATATGAGGCCTTAATAATTGGCTTAGAAATACTGGTAGAACTAGGAATCCAATCTGTGGAAATTCTGGGAGATTCCATGCTAGTTTTGAAACAAATTGCTGGAGAATACAAGTGCCTAAGCCCTTCTTTGGCTGTCTACTTGGTGGCAGCTAGGAATCTTCTGACAGAATTCAGAGAAGCCACTTGGGAACATATCCCAAGGGAAGAAAATTTTGCAGCCAATGAATTGGCCCAGGTGGCAACAGGCGTACAAATGCCCGAAGACTGTGTACAAAGAATCATCAGGATAGGAAAGAAAAGCCTACCATCTGTTCTGGCCAGAGGGATGGAGATAGATGTCAATTCTGCCACAATCACTAAAGATGATTGGAGAAATCCTATCATGACCTATCTACGATATCCAACTTTGCCCTCTGAGAAGAGAGTCAGAATCATGGCTTTAAACTACCTTATGTGGAATGAAGATTTGGTCCGAAAGAGCAAGGATGAGGTGCTTTTAAGGTGCCTCGGAAAGAAAGAATACATGAAAGTTATGGGGGAAACCCATGAAGGAATCTGTGGAGCACATCAAGGTGGGAGAAAAATGTGCTGGTTAATTAGGAGATATGGCTACTTCTGGCCAACCATGATGAAAGATTGCATTAACTATTCCAAGGGGTGTGAATCTTGTCAAAGACACGGCCCAGTCCAGCAGGCTCCATCAGTTCCCATGAATCCAGTGGTAAAACCATGGCCCTTGAGAGGATGGGCAATGGATCTCATTGGTAAGATCTATCCAGCCAGCAGCCAGCAGCACTGCTTTATCATTGTTGCCACAGACTATTTCACTAAGTGGGTGGAAGCCAAGGCTGTTAAATCTACTACATCTCAAGAGATCATCACTTTCATAGAAGAGCAGATTATCCAAAGATTTGGCATCCCAGAATCAATCACAACTGATAGAGGATCCTCCTTCATATCCGGAGAAATGCTGGACATGGCAGAGGCATTCAAAATCAGACTGCTCCAATCCACTCCTTATTATGCCCAAGCCAATGGACAGGCAGAATCAAGCAACAAAGTGATCATCAACATTATCAGGAAAATGCTTAAGAAGAATCCGAAACAATGGCATGAGAAGCTGTCAGAAACTCTGTGGGCATATAGAACTTCAAAAAGAGAAGCGACTGGCATGACTCCCTATGCGTTAACCTACGGTCATGATGCAATTCTGCCTATGGAGATAGCTGTTCAGTCCCTCAGAATTGCTCACCAACATGACTTAGTAGGAGAAAACTACTCCCAGGCCATGCTGCTGGAACTGGAGGGATTGGATGAAAGCAGAATTGACACTCTCAACAAACTCCGGGCAGGAAAACAGGCTGTATCAAGGGCCTACAACAAGAGAGTCAGGAACAAGAGTTTTGAAGAAGGGGAGATAGTCTGCAAGGCAGTTCTGCCCCTCGGAACCCATGTGGCTGGTTATGGAAAATGGTCACCTACATGGGAAAGCCCTTTCATAATGAACCAGATCCTCGGAATGGGGGCATACAGGTTGCAGGATAGGGATGGAGAAGTTCATACGGCCCCAATCAATGGCAAATGGTTAAAAAAGTTTTATCCAACCATGTGGGATGCGCAGGCTGTACAAACAGACCCCGGGATAGACACAAGATTACACTAGAAATCTTTTGGTTCCTTTCAAAATTACCCTTGTTTCTACTTCTGTCTTTTAAGTTTGTCCCTTTTTTGTTGTACTTCCACTTCTGTCTTTAAGTTTGTCCTTTGCTTCTACTTCTGTCTTT